AAGCTGAATCCCCTCAACCTCGTGGGAACTAAGCCCCCAGGCAGTGAAGTTAGGGTGTGGTGACCTCACTCACATTCAAAATCTATTTCTTTTTTAACCTGCACAAGCACAGTTCTGGCTGGAACCTGCCTCAGACTTTTCAGATGTTTTTTAAATTAAAGCTACAATTTGCACTCCACCCTCTTTCTCAGAGCACTTCAGAGAAAGTGGAATATTATGGAGACTGCAGGAAGACAGGAATATTCTGGACATTATTTTAAATTTTAATTTCTCAAGCAATTGAAAACCCACAAATGACTAGGCTGCCAGCGGAGAAACTTGCTATTCTTAAATGCCAGTTATTGGCAATGATATCACAGTATTAGAACCCAGCTCAGGGCCACAAGGAAGCCTAATCAAAACATCATCTGAAAACAGTAATATTGCTTCTAACCAAAGTCAAATCTGCTTACAGTGAGGTCTTTGCACTCTTCGGGTGCTGGGAGAGCCCGACTTTGTTTTCTGTAAAGCTTCATCAGAACCTTCCACAGCATCTTCAAGTTCTTGCTCAGAACCATTCGATTTTGATTTTCCTGCTTCATTTATATTGGGCTTGTCAGGGTTTTCAGACATTCTCAATTAAGTTTATTCACTTTCCTAGGAAAGAAAGACAAAGTGAACCACACGTTCTAGCTCTGTTACTAACTAGCAGTGTGAATCTGGGCAAATAAGTTATTCTCTTTGGGTTTCAATTTTCTCACCTGTAAAAATGAATCGGCTTGCAGAGACCTTATCCAGCTATCATACTCTACCTCAGTGATTTAACAGATTATTTGTAAAATGATGCTTGTAATGTATCAAATCTATGGACCTGTACTTCAGATACAGAGTAACAAGTTTGAGTATTTTTGTCTCACTTCTAAGTACCTCCTCAAAAGAAAACAGGAAGATTGGAAGATAATACTTCCAATTGTTGGAAGATAATACTATCAACTGCCTGCTTCTATTTTAATCAAAGAGTGATTCTTCAATTTTTTACTTTCATTCCTGAGAGCTGATAGGCAAAGTCTCTGAAAATCATGCTTTTAACTTGGGCTTCCAATTGAATACACTGGACTGAGGAGCTGGTTCTCTGATTCTGTTGTGCGGATAAGAAATCGAGGGATGACACAAGGCGGAATCTTACAAAGCTCGTAAGAATGTGTGGGGCAAATATTTTTATTAACTTCTTCTTGCCAGTCAGCAGGAAAGATGGTAAGGAGGAAGCTGCAGACAACCACAATGTACGGGTTGGGGTGGGGTTTTAATTTTTTTAAGTTGCTGGTTAGAACAAGAATAATACTTAATACATCGGTTTGGGCCAGTTAAAAAAGGCCTGAAATAGTATCCTCTTTTTACTGTAAAAGTTTTTGTCAAGTTTTGCTCACCCCCACCCCCCAGTTCTTTCCTAGAGTTCTCTCTTCCTAAGGTATTTCTAATTAAGAGAGAAGCTAGACACGTTTCTGCATTCATAATTCTGCAAATAATTAGCATTTGTACCATCAGCACTTGGAGATCACAAACCATTTTCATAAACACTAATTAGCCTTTATTATACACCTGGAGGGCAATGCAGGGATCAAAAGAAATGTTGACTGCTTTCAAAAGGTCTGGCAGGCTCTCTTGCACATTAGAGAAGAATCACTTGATTTAATTATCTGAAATTTCAGATCCCTCCATTAAATAGAATGAAGTTACTGGAATTGACATTTTCAGGCCTGTATTTTTTTTTCCAGGCCTGTATTATTAATATGAGGGTTGCTTTATTGCAGTTCCCCCTTACCTTCCAATATCCCACTCCAGACACCCATCTCCTCTGTCCTAAATCCTATTAGGCTCTGGATATGCTCCAAGATCCAAAAGATAACACTGCCAGCATATTCTATGAGAAAGGACAAACACAAACACACACACACACACACACACTTCTAATTTTATCTTCTTCACATGCTGAGAATGAGCTCAGAAAGGATGAAGTAACTCTTACTGCACAGTGAGGAGGAAGGCATGCTTTCCTGGTCTCTAACACTCAGTTTAGTAAACTAACCCCATCCTTTTAACGTGCAGCTCAGGTCCTATTCCTCCCAGGACACCTTCCCCACAGTGTCTGCACCTTTCTCTGAACTCTCGTAGGGCCAGTTACTGCACATCTGGCATGCATCATTGCCGTAGATCTGATTCAATATATATACTTATTTAAGTAGGTTTGGAGAGGGATGCTTGGGTGGCTCAGTGAGTTAAGTGTCTGTCTTGGGTTCAGGTCATGATCTCAGGGTCCTGGGACCCAGCCACACCCAGGGCTCTCTGCTCAGTGGAGAGTCTGCTTCTCCCTCTGCCCCTCCCCCCTGCTCATGGTCTCTCTCGCGCGTGCGCGTGTGTGTGTGCGCGCGCGCTGCGCGCGCGCGCGCGCTCTCTCTCTCTCTCTCTCTCTCTCTCTCGAATAAATAAATAACCTTTAAAAAAAAATAGGTGAACAGTGAAACTTAAGCCTTGGTGACATGATAAAACCAGTAAGGGAGCACAGGGAGAAATGAATTCTGCCTGGAAGGAGGTTGGGATAAGCTTTCCAGAAAAGGTGACATTTGAGCAGTTCTTTTAAAATGAGCAGGATTTATGGGACACCTGGGTGGCTCAGCGGTTGAGCATCTGCTTTGGGCTCAGGGCGTGATCCTGGAGACCCCGGATCCAGTCCCACGTCAAGCTCCCTGAATGGAGCCTGCTTCTCCCCCTGCCTGTGTCTCTCTCTGAGGGCACACGTGAAGGCACAGGAAGAGGAGAACAAGTGGCCCACGCTGAAGAGGGAAAGATGGGTTGGGGCGAGCCTGTGAAATAGCTTGTTTTATTTAAAAAACAAAAACCGAAAAAAGGAAAACTGTGTGGAGGTTCCTCGAAGAGTTAAAAATAGACCTGCTCTACGACCCAGCAATTGCACTGTTGGGGATTTACCCCAAAGATACAGATGCAGTGAAACGCCGGGACACCTGCACCCCGATGTTTCTAGCAGCCATGTCCACAATAGCCAAACTGTGGAAGGAGCCTCGGTGTCCATCGACAGATGATGGATAAAGAAGATGTGGTTTATGTATACAATGGAATATTACTCAGCCATTAGAAACGACAAATACCCACCATTTGCTTCGACATGGATGGAACTGGAGGGTGTTATGCTGAGTGAAGTCAATCAGAGAAGGACAAACATTATATGGTCTCATTCATTTGGGGAATATAAATAATAGTGAAAGGGAATAAAGGGGAAAGGAGAAAAAAATGAGTGGGAAATATCAGAAAGGGAGACAGGACATGAGAGACTCCTAACTCTGGGAAACGAACAAGAGGTGGTGGAAGGGGAGGAGGGCGGGGGGTGGGGGTGACTGGGTGACGGGCACGGAGGGGGGCGCTTGATGGGATGAGCACTGGGTGTTATGCTACATGTTGGCAAATTGAACTCCAATTAAATAAAAAAAAAACGAAAAAAACCCCACACAACTCTCCACCTAGATTTTTGACTTCTCCGTTCCCACCAACCGTATTTCCCACACATGTGCGTCCGTGGGAAGCCTGCCCTCCAGACGCCCACTGAGTATCTGTTGACAGCTGTGTCCTCCCCGCGAGGTCGGCGCGTGTGGAGGGAAGCATGGGCGTTGGCCTCAGGCGGACCCGGGTTCCAATTCGGAGCCTTCCCTCGCTGTGGAACTTCAGTTTCCTCATCTGCCAAACGCAGCGACCTACTCCTTGGATGGGGGTGGGGGTCGGGACGACGGGCGCGCACCGCGGCGGCCGGCCCTCTACGGGCTTTCCGCGCACGCCAGCTGCCGTGACAGGGCTGCCGGGGGCGCGGCTCTCAGCTGCTCCTTCATTCCAGCAGCTCCTGCTCCGCCCGACAAGGGGCCCGAGGGGAGGAGGTCGTCGCGCGCCGCCGCCGCCACAGACTCCTCACAGGAAGGGTCTGTCAGCAAAGGCAAGGCGCTCGGTCTGCCGACGCCGGGCCCGCTCCCTCCCGCAGCCCGCGCCCCTCGCCCCCGGGCTCCGATGTAAACAACCGTGCGGGCGGCGGCGGGGCTGCGGGGCGGCCCCGAGGGGAGGGACAAAGGCCGCCCTACGCCGCCACCCGCCGCCGCCCCTGCCTCTCCCTCCTCCACCCGACCGCGCGGGACCCGACCTGCCCGGAGGAGCCGAACAAATGCCTGTGACTTGCACCTGGCGCCTCCCGTGCGGGCCCCGCGGGGCTGCCGGCCTCCGTGCGCGACCCTCACCTGCCGCGGAGTCGGCGTTCTCCCTCCTGCCGCTCGGGCCGGGAACGAGGCGGGCGCCGGCGGAGGCGCGGAGCGACGCGCGGCGAGCACGGGATGCTTCAGCCTCTGCCCTGCCGAGGCCGCATCCCCCGGCGCGCTGCGGGCCGTCCTCCCAGCCAGGCTCCGGTGGGCAGCGGCCAGCGCGGCCGCCCCTCCAGCGTCAGCGAGGAGGAGGCAGCCCTTTAGCCGGGAGGCCCCCGCCCCTCGTAGGGCGGCGCCATGTTTCCGTACGGAAAGGGGGGAGCGCGGTCCCGTGCGGGCCGAGGGCGCTCAGCGGGCGGGGGCTCGAGCCGGGAGGCGCCATGTTTCCGTACGGAGACTCGGAGTCGGCCGGCGGGGCTCAGTGGGCGGGTGGCTCCGAGCCGGGCGGCGCCCGCCCCGCGCTGGGCGTCGCCATGTTTCCGTACGGAAGCATGGGCGCCGCTGGAGTGTGAGGCGGGAGCGGAGCACGTGGTAGAGGCTGCGCGGACTCCGTCAAGGGAAAGAAGACCGGCCGCCGCGAATCCGTGAGCTGGTTCAGAGCCTCCCCCGCCCGGGTCTTCAGGCTTCGGTAGTACCGTCGTCGGGTTTCCGTAGCTGCGCGTTGTTTACTATTCCCTCAGTTTGGAAAAAAAAAACAGGTAGCCGAGCCTCCCTTCAGTGGCACAGAGTCTCTGTCGGGGGGCGGGGGGGGGGTCATCGCTTCCATCTAAGTGGCTGCCACACTTTGTCGACAGAAAGAGCGAGACTTCGGCCCCGCAGAGACGCGGGGCGAGGGGACGAAGGGCTCCGGTGACGGTCCAGCCTGGTGTCGGTAAGGCGTGCGCGCTTGCAGGCATTTTAGGACCTGGGAGTTCTGGAAGGGAAGCCGCCGCGCCGAGCCAGGCCTGTTCCGGAGCCTCGTCTCCCTCCGTCACAGGCACTGGGGGCCGCGATTATCTCGGCGCTGGACTGGAGGCTGCTCCAAAAAAGCAAAACACAAAAGGGCTTTTCTCACCTTTTTTAGCAGTTCGATGCGAACTGCGTGAATAGGAATAGTTTTTGTACCTAAGTTTTTTTTTTTTTAAAGATCTTATTTATTTATTCATGAGAGACAGAGAGAGAGAGAGGCAGAGACACAGGCAGAGGGAGAAGCAGGCTCCATGCAGGGAGCCCGACGTGGGACTCGATCCCGGGACTCCAGGATCACACCCCGGGCCAAATGCAGGCGCTAAACCACTGAGCCACCCAGGGATCCCTATAGGTAATCTTAAAAAAATAAAAGCAACGTGGGTTTTTTTTTTTTGTCATTTGTAAAAATTCTTACTTTTATATGATTTTTTAGTGGAGTTTGATATGCCAACATATAGCATAACCCCCAGTGCTCACCTCGTCAAGTGCCCCCCCAGTCACCCCAACCCCCCCCCCACCTTCCTTCCACTACCCCTTGTTCTTCGCTTCCCAGAGTTAGGAGTCTCTCATGTTCTGTCACCCTCACTGATCTTTTCCTTTCTTTTCTTTTTAAGATTTTCTTTGTTCGTGAGAGACACAGAAGAGAGGCAGAGACACAGGCAGAGGGAGAAGCAGGCTCCATGCAGGAGTCCGACGTGGGACTCCATCTGGGGTCTCCAGGATCAAGCCCTGGGCCGAATGTGGCGCTAAACCTCTGAGCCACCCGGGCTGCCCCTCACTGATGTTTTCCATTCATTTTCTCTCCTTTCCCCTTTATTCCCTTTCACTATTTCTTATACTCCCTGAATTAATGAACATGTAATGTTTGTCCTTCTCTGATTGACTGACTTCACTCAGCAGAACACCCTCCAGTTCCATCCACCTCAAAGCAAATGGTGGGTATCTGTCGTTTCTAACGGTTGAAAGCTTGTGATTCTTAACTGTTCAATTGTAAAAATGCTGCAAGACTGAGCATAAGTCACGTATGCCTTAATTAAGCAAAATGATGGTAATAAGTCTCCTACCTGTAGCCTATAAAACTTGTTAAATTTAAATAACTAGAAAAGCAAGATGAAGTGAAATTAGTGCTCAGACACTGCTGAATAGATCACACGTGGACAGATACTCCTGGAGTCTTGAAAGCTGAGTGCAATACTACGCCCTCCAACCTTTCATCAACTGCCACATGAGGTTTTTTTTTTCTTACACACACACATGAAAGTCCTCAGAGGAGGATTCACTTTAGGAGAGGGGAAAAAAAAAAGCCAAAAGCCTTAAGATACTCAACTGGAATAAAGATTAACCAAAGAAAATACTCAGTTTTCACTTCTGAGTCTGGACTCTGACTACACCATAAAATCCTCTGGGGGTAGGGGAGCATTCTAAAACGATTATCTGAAACTCTGGGGGTTGATGCCAGGGAAAAACTAAGCTTTCTAGGTGATTCCAACGTGCAGCCAGTTAAGAACCACGTCCCTAGAGAGATCCACTCTTCTCCTCACCCCATCCCTACTGAGAGTCCACTACCTTCTTGTAGGGAATAATATAAACAGTTTTCACTTCTGGAGGTGACATTGCTACACTATCAAAACCACTGGTTTCACTTGTAATGGTTTCTTATCTTCTGATAGATCTGAAACTGTTTCCTTTAAATATTAAGAACATATTGACACAATTTTTTTGGCTGCAAGTACCGGAAACTCAAATTACCTCAAAATAGAGTTCACTGCAAGGCTAGGTAGGGTTGGGAAGGAGAAAGCTGGCAGCTAGCTGTTCTAGAGATCAGTACTGTTGTCATCTCCCCAAGACACATCTCCCCAAGATTACCTCAAAATAGAGTTCACTGCAAGGCTAGGTAGGGTTGGGAAGAAGAAAGCTGGCAGCTAGCTGTTCTAGAGATCAGTACTGTTGTCATCTCCCCAAGATGGTTCTCATCACATCTCTGCTCCTTGCTGCGATCTCCTGCACTCCTCTGAATCACAGGCTGGTTTCTCTATTTTCTTAGTTGTTGCTCCCTTCTATTTTGGATTTTTTTCTATATAGAATTTCCTTGGCAAAGCTGACTTTTGTGCAAAATCAGTCCTATGCCTATAGAGAAGTCGTCCTTGGATCAGTGCTCAGCCCTGGTCTACTCAGCTAAGGTGGTGGCAAGGCTCACAGTCACCTAGGCACGAGGTGTATAAGTGGGGATGGGTCCCCAGGGGATATGGATGAGTGAATGAGGGCACACAGCAAGCAGCTGACAGTCGAGGGATATGGGATGGTTGCCCCCAGCATTCAGGGTAGCACACGACCTACACCTTAAAACTCTGACCATGCTCACAGTAAATAGAGCCAATTTTTCTTAAAACTTTATTCTTGTAGGACACCTGGGTGGCTTGGTCAGTTGGGTGTCTGCCTTCGGCTCAGGTCATGATCTTGGGGTCTTGGAATCAAGCCCTGTATTGGGCTCACTGCTTAGCAGGGAGTTTGCTTCTCCCTTTTCCTCTGCCCCCTCCCTTGCTTGTTTTCACTCTCTCTTCTTCAATCTTAAAAAAACAAAAACTATTTTTTTTTTAAACTATTCTTTCTTAGGAAGTTTGAGGTAAACTGGTCTTGCTAGGTTTTCTGTGAAATTATAATTCTATTAGAATGATACTGCTTCTAGGGACATGAATGTAATAACTAGGCGGTTCTGGCTTCCCCTGAAGAAGTGGTGTTAGTTTTGTTTGCCAAATAATCATTCAATTATGTGCAAAGTAAAGGTTGCAAGTCAGATAGTACATACAGTTGCTCTGCACTCCTATACAGTCTGTAGATCGATTAGTCGTTCTCAACCCTGATTACACCTGAGAATCTCCTAGGGGGCAGGAGTTCTAAAATGATCATCTGGGACTCCAGGGGTGATGTGAGGGAAGAACTGCTAAATTTCACAGGTGATCTGAGTGTTCAGCCAGGCAAGAACCACCTCCACACCCCGAATGTGGTCTCATCACACTTTCAGTGATTTCTGAAAACTTCCTAAACACTTAAGTCATGAACCATCTTCTCTTTTTCACATAGTAAAGACAACTGCCTTCCCTTACCTATGAAAACCAAAACCAAGAAACCTGACAAAGTTATTCCCTGCTTTACTAGGAGAACAGGAATCACAGATACAGAGTCCTCAACCTATTCAAAGACTAGTTGGTATCAGATGTTAGAAAATAAGATTGACATACTAGCATATTGGCGCATCATTTGAATTCTCCCTGCCGCTCTTTTAAGATTTTTCCTTTTTAAGTAATCTCTATACCCAGCGTAGGGTTCAAAAGCACAACCCAGAGGTCAAGTCACACACATCAAATGACTAAACCAGCCTAGTGCCCTTCCTACCTCTCTTTAAAAGTCAAAGTAGGGATGCCTGGATGGCTCAGTGGTTGTGCCTTCAGCTCAGGTACTAATCCAGGATCAAGTCCCACATTGGGCTCCTTGCAGGAAGCCTGCTTCTTCTTCTGCCTATATCTCTGCCTCTCTCTTGCTCTCTCTCATGGATAAATAAATAAAATCTTTTAAAAAAAGTCGAAGTAGAAAAATTGTTTCCTTTTAATCTTTTAATTATTGTATGGATGAAGTTTCAAGTTGTAATTGTAGTATATTGCTGGTCTATTTACCAAATATATCTTGATAGTGCAGTTCCAAAATAATCATAACCTTGGATGAAAAGTTGAAGATCTTAGTGCAAATGACTAGTTCAAAAGAAATACAGGATACGAGAGGAACATAAGAGATTGTGCTTGCAATCAGCACAGTCCAGATTGTGGGAAACTAAAGAACTGACTGGGTTAGGTTTATTTGATGACAGAGAGGGAAGGAGGACCAGTGAAAAGAACATCCTATAGGTTAAGAGACTTACAAAGAGCGTTAACCAACTGCAATTTATGAGCCTTAATGGGACCCTATTTGAATAAACTGTCAAAGTCATTTGAGAGCAGAAAATGTGATTATTGACTGCATATTTGATGGTATTAAAGAATTGTGGGTTTGTGTGGATGTAATGATGATATTGTGGTTATTTTTTTTAATGTCATTTTTTTAGCCATGCATTCTGAAATTTCATAGATGAAGTGATAGGGTGTCTGAAGTTTGTTGGGGTGGGAGCAAGGAACACATGGGGGTATAGGTTAAATGAGATTGGCCGTAAGTTGCCAATTGCTGAAACTGGATAGCGAGTACATGGAAGTTACTCTGTTATTCTATTCTTTCCCATTTTTACATATGTTTGAATAAATAATAAGCTTTAAAAGATGCTGAAGTTTTCAAAATCAATAGGACAGTTCAATTTCTGACTTGTCTACTGTTTATGGTACTTAGCAAATTCACTTTATCATAGCCTGAGTTTCTATCTTGTATCTTTAAGGAGTACCTCTCAAGGTAAAAACCACACTCCTATTAACTTGTAATTACAGACTTTCTTACTATTTAATACCTTGTTATGTAAATACTGCCATGTCATAACATTAAATTTCTATGATGTTCTATAAAGTATTGGGCACAGGAATTATAAATCAGCTCACCCTAAAGAGGTCAATACTTAACAGCAATACACCATCTAATACTCAGTTTCAGACATGGAACTTTATACAAAAAAACTTTTATTAAGTACAATTTCATATTTAGAATTCTAAGGTTACAAATGTGATTAGATACTTAGGATACATAATTTATTCTTAAAATACATAAATTATATACAGATAGTAAAAAAATCAGTCTCCAAAATACTCAATAAAGATGTCTGGATGACACTTATAGAACTGACCTAGCAATTTTTTCTTCTCTTTGGCAGACAGTTTTGAATCTTCATCAATAGTCTTTAGTAAATTCATTAGTTCATCCTTGGTTGTCTTCTGTGTATGGTCAGAATAATCACTTTGATCAATTCTCTGGCAATATATATATCCTTTAAGTTTAAAAGTAAAAAGTTAAAAATAAATAAATAAATAAATAAATAAATAAATAAATAAATAAATAATAAAGTAAAAAGTTCGGTTAATGAATCTATTCCTCAGATTTAACTTAAAAAAAAAGCAATATTTTTATTTTTCAATTTGTAAAATGCATTGAAGATGCTAAGCACTGCTTTCTAACCTTGGTCAGGTTACTTTTTGACAGAAGGAGGCTCTCTACTAAGTCTGGATAACTCTCAGTTTAAAGTTTAGTTGAAATTAAAGGGCAACTACTTAAAGCAAAACACTTTCAAATAAACACTAGGAATTTATCTTTGGTAGATCATGAAAATAGTATTTCTCTGATTACCTGTATCTCTATTTGGATCTCTTCCTTTCTGAATGGCCATGAGCTTAACACTAACAATTTTATGCAGAGTTCCTGGAATCTTTAAAAAAAGAAAGAAAAAAAAAGAGAGAGAGACAGGACATTATTCAAGTGCATTTTAATCTAATCTATTACATAAGCTCAACTTAACTACCTTCAGAATTTTACCTTAAAAACATCTTTTTGATGATCCATTAAAAAGAGTACCAGAAGATCAGTTTTGCCTTTGGATAAATTTTTATTGTCAACAATAGCTTTTGAGAATATCCTTTTCACAACCATTCGGTTGTCACTCTATAAAAACAAAACAAAACACACCCAATAGTGTATATTTAAAAGAATGAGTTTAAAAAAAAGGCAATGTTGAATATTAATAGCCATTATTCATTTCAGCATACCTATGCCCATGTAAGATAATCTGACATGTGGGTCCTGTAAGTATTAAGGCTACTGAATACAATTAACATTTAGACAAAAGACTTACTTCTTTCTGTAATTTAAATTCAGAAGGATGTGCTGCAACAGCCATGAAATACAGTAGTC